AGAGCCGTTAATTACTTGTTGATCTCGGTTAGACGACTAGGGTTAGCAATCTAATGCTCGTAGCTCGTTTATTCTGTATGTCGATTGATTATCATCCCGTATTGGTTATGGTATGAGACTCTGGTGATCTAGTTTGAAAAATGCTCATCTTTTGATCTTGCTTTCTATTAATTGCTCGTTTTTAAATGTTCAAGTAGTGTTAATCAACCATCCAATCAATTGTTTAGAATGTTTAGGATTTTATTTTCGATTTTTGTGATTTGGACGATCATCTAGTAGACAAAGCTCCGAATAGCCTTCCTTCGAGATCGACCCGAGTCGGGTAGCTCGGTTACCCCTTGCCCATCAAATCTATACTAAACAACGCGATCATTCATGACCAACTATCTGCCACTCACGGACCTCAACTTCTCCTCTATGGCATCAAGCCTTTGACAATATGTTGTGATGATGATGATATAAGCTCAAAATATTTTTTTTTATGCTCACGGACGCACTTCTTCTTCTTCTTCTTCTTCTTCTTCTTTTCTTTTTTTTTTGAATGCTTCGTGATCAGTTTTTCTCAATGAAAGCACCAATAATGAAGATCTAGTATCTAGACTTGTTTTGTTTAGACGCGCGTGCTAACATCCTTGCTTCTACACGATAATTTGTGAAAATACGCATTAACGATAAAATATTTGTTTTCTGATTTGAGCGTCGGAATGCCCCGGCGCTTTGCAGGTTGATCCGGTTCTTGAAGACAAAGGTGATTGAGGTGTCCGAACACTCACGCAATCCAGATGAGGCGGTTCGACCGGCAATCTCGGTGAGTCGATTATTTTGACTCATCAGACCTTATTAATCACAAGATGTTTGTGAAACCCCACATTCTCAGACTTGGATAAACACAAGAGAATTTGTTGCTCAAGATGAGCAATTTTTTTCTTATCTCATTGCTTGAATTAATAATTCGAATGGACATGGCATGGGAATTTAAAGAAAACAAAGACCAAATCTATTTTTAATTTGTCTGAATTTCACTATATTTAATTGAATTTTTATTTGAATTCAATACTCATAATTTGAATTGCAATTTGAATTATAATAATATTTTGTGTGTGAAACATATATGAGTTAATTGTAGCATATTTGCTTCTATATATCTTTGCTATAGTTTACAAATATAATATAAGAATACCAAATATTGTTAATTAATCACTAGTATTTATTTAAACTACAAAATGTTGTCTATCATCCTTGAAATTCCATTTCGCTATATAAAAATTAAGTCAACTACACAAATGATTTTATTTCTTAGAAATTGCAAGTCTGTGAGACCATGGGTTCTTGAAAAAGAACAATATGCAACATTTGAACGAAGAACTAAATTGCACGTACGTCAATATGTATTTGTAAAATTCGAATTTAAAGGCAACTTTTGAATAAGAATCAAAATATTACATCCATCAGAAAATACAGAAGACACAAAATAGCATATGTATTTGACGCGGCTTTATTTGCAGCATCTAGCTAGCTAGTAAATATTAAAAGATAATTAGCTATATATATATGTAATGACTTTATTGCAAATTTGATCAATAGGTTGGCTCCGTGCATACGACACAAAATTATGTTGCACAATTTAGTGTGGAAAGTGCGGGCTGAATGAGAATCCTGACGATTCGAAGCGAGGCTCCTTGCGTCATATGCAAACCATCCCAAAATATGTAATTGTTTGGATTGGAGCAAACAGGCACACCCCGACTCCCACAAAACCTTCTGCTATTGTAGTTGTATTTTCCTCCAATTCCACAACAAGCTTGCAGTGTTGTGTTTCTAAATGGGCCTGTAGATTTCAAATAACATAACTAATAATAATTAGCTTACAAGAAAATTATTGAAACAATTAACTTAAGAGTGAAAATTAATTTTGAAACATGCGCTATGAATAATAATAATAATAATAATAATAATAATAAAAGACAATTACTGGCCTGCTAATGTCTCGGTAATAACTTGCCGCATCCCTTCGTCCATCGGGCCATACATTATGCTAACGTCTGGGAACTCTCTGCTCAGATTTCTCATAGCTGCTTGGAGATTGTCGTTTTTATATGCGATTAGATCATTTACGCTTTTAAGACAACCCATATTATCGTAAGCGTCGGGATGATTGTTGCGCAGTGCAGTTAAGATATATGGAAAGCAACCAATTAGAGCATTTCCAGGAATTATTATATGCCTCGCACCCATGTTGATCAGCTCCTGCATGATGCATCAATATATATTCAGTTAAATTAATTTGGTTAGTGTTGAAAAGATTTTGTTTATACGTATAATTATTAAATTAATTGGAGATATATAGTAGTACTTACTCTTGTTGCACTTATTTGAGCTTCTGTTATGTAAGGCACATAAGTCCGTACATCTCTAATTGATTTACCCTGAATCAGTGAGTAGCCCACGTCATTGGCTTCAATATC